AGTACGTGATGCTTTCGAGAAGAATGATGTCGATGGGTTCGTATTTGAACGTTTGGTGGGTAATCTGGATGACGTTGAAGATGACGAAATGTTAGCCACGCCATCTAATGCAGCTGGGGATACGTGTAAGCTTTGTTATCTATTGGTACCGACAGTTCACAGTGTTGCCTTTATCCCAGCGAATACCACTCCTCCCCGACATAGCAATAATACTCATTTTGGGGGCCTCAATCACGAAGGAGTCGTTGAAGGCATTAGTGATGTTAGAGATGATCAAGATCGAGAGCACCTGTATCACAGTACTACTGACGATAGTGCAGTATATACTTGTTGTAGTGCTGCTCATGTAATGATAGACTACTCACCATCATCATCGTCGTACCACAATAGTTTATCCATCTTAGGAGCTAGGATTGACGGATCCAACACTAAGACGTATCCTATTGATAGTAATACGGGTGCTTAGTAAACTGAAACAAAGAGCTTTGATGCCGACCATCACTACCCAACATCTACACCAGTGGTTTTCAGCATTGGAGGTAGTAGTACTAACGATTGATACATATTCCAGTACAAGTAATACTATCCAGGTTAACTATGGTGATATCGACTTCCAATGCTTAATTGGTGAAGGAGGATATGGTAGAGTATACCGTGCTAGATACATGCATAAACATGTAGCATGTAAGGTAGTAGTAGTGGTCTGCTCTTGTATGATAGGCTTGCTACTGTAGGACTGTCTATAGGTATTCCGTGGTGGTGGTACTACTCGTCAACAACCTCGTGATAAGGTTGATGATAATGATCATCATCATCCGCCTCTTCATCCAGAACAGCAACACATATCGAAGGATTTCTGGAGTGAACTCAATACTTTGGCTAGACTTAGGCATCCCAACATAACATTACTACTAGGAAGTACAACACTATGAGGCATTAATGTGGAGTATCCTTCTTATATCAGTATCCCTCGCACCACGTTATAGTCTATTGACTGAATACATCCCCTGTGGCTCTCTTTTCGACCTCTTACATCGTACTCATCCCGGTCATAAGAAGAGTAGGTAGTAGTAATGATAGTAGCATTGATAGAGCCATTTATAGGTCATGATATTGATGGATGGTCACTGCCTCGGGTAGTGAGTATTGGAAGAGAGATATGCCTTGGTATGTCCTACTTACATACCCATGGGGTACTCATAATACTACTCATGTCTATGGATAGTCATTCTCTCCCACTAGGTACTGCATTGTGATCTCAAGAGTAGCAATGTACTTATATCAGAGAGCTGGGAGGTGAAGATATGTGATTTTGGTTTATCCTTCATGACTGGTGAGTCCAATAGAGATGCTAGATTACCTTTGGGATGCGTGGGTACTCATCACTGGATGGCTCCAGAGGTATCAACAACAATTCAATGAGGAAACCTCATACTAATCTGATATACATAGATACTACGTGGAGAGGAGTATTCTCAGTATGCAGATGTATACAGTTTTGGTATGATACTATGGGAGATGGTATATCGTATGATACCTTACGCTCATTTATCGGCCTTACAAGTCATAGGTAATACTAGTGAGAGGCTTTACCATAATCGATGTGGATGGTATGAATACAGGTATCGTGGGATATGGACACAGAGTTCATCATCATGGACCATCTAGACCATTATTACCAATGGATGATTGTCCTATGCCTTTACGAAACATCATGATGCGAAGTTTACGCTATGTCCCGGCGACAAGGTAATACGAGGGAGTCATAAAATACACAGACCTAGTGCAGCAGCAGCAGAGGCATATCTGTCGCCTTCCCCTATCTTCTAGGAGCAGCACTTATGGGGTATATATCTGAGATCTATAGCTTGTAGAAGTTAAAGAATATCTCTCATTCCATATGCATTCTTAGCTACTGCTCTATATGGGCTGATAGATGTATTCATACCCGCATAGACCTGGACGTAGCTTTGAGCACACCGCCATCTGCATCATTTCCTTACTAGAAACCTCATTAGGCCATCGTTTGTCGAGCTTGCCGCAGAGTTGTCGCGCCTACACAAAAACTCGGTGATAGATGTTGAAGAGAGCATGAATGCATTCTTTGGGATCGATAGGCCCTCTAATATGGTAAATGACATCCATCTCGACAGCACCGCATCTTGGTGTTGTCTCAGGCACACTCTACTTGGCAGAGTACCACTCCTTGGAGTCGTCAGGGAGTTGATTCAGAGCACCCTACTCCAGGTGATACCAGCAGCTTTCTGGCTGGTATCGCCAACACTGAGTATGGTCATCAACACCAAGCAGTTCACTCTGACCAGCCCCGATACCATTACCGCCCATCCTATTAGATCCAACCGTCGCAGTTCATATTATTATCATGCTTGGTTAAGTA